ATGTTTTGGTGGGACGGGATTCGAACCCGGTAGTAGCTTTAAAAACCAAACCCATTTTCAAAACTTATTGATATTAAATTGTATTATTCTAAAAATATTCCTATAACTTTAAGTCACTAGAGGGTGTGAGTAAACAGTTTTCGAAAGTAAAAAATGAGTATCTTAGTTAATTCAACTTCTCGCGCATTTTAGATTAATTATTATTATTATAACACTTAAAAATCGTAAATATGAGGTGAATTTTCTCTTAACAAGGAATAACCCCACTTTTTTCGCTTAACGTTTCAAAATTTTGTGATATTTAATAAAGAAATATAATTTATAAGGTCAACATTTTAATTACCGATACATTTTCCTGAACACTACAAACTGAAAAAAAATCACGACATCTTTGTACTGGTCAGTGACGAGTAAATAGCCCTTCATCACGTGATTCTTTAAAAGCTATCAAATTTAACCACGTGGACGCTTCGTTAGTATAATAAATACTAATATTAACTATTATATTGTTCAACAGATTGTTGACTTCCATCAGTAATGGTAGAAGAATTGCTTTCTTTGTTCTTGAGCGCAAAGCACACAATTGGCTATCTGTAAGCCTGTAGGTCAACCGCTGAGCCACGAGTAGGCGGGTCAATGAGGGAAAAATAATTGGGACCCACTAGTTTACACAGTTCAAACTGGCGGAACTAACGTGAAAACGAGAGCCTTTAAGAAATAACGTGATTATTATATTCATTGTTTGTACATTGATAAATAAATCAAGAGAAATACAAATGGATAATGTATTTTTTGCCGTTACTAAGGTGGGTAGGCGTCAACATTGCAAAAAGTAGTTCAATCATCTGCGGACTGATACAGCTCTATTTTTCCCAGCGTATCATTAAATACTGACAGCAGCTACGTTAAACGTAGTTTCTGTTTGGTATGTTCATTTGTTTCAGATATTCGCGCAAAGCTACACAAGGGCTATCTAGGCTGGCTGTCCCTAGTTTTGAGTTGACAGACTAATGGAAAGGAAGTTAGCCAGCAGCGCCCACTGCCAATTTTTGGTATACTGTAAACGAATAGTGGAATTTGACCGCCAATCTTATAATGCGCCCAGGGCTTCAACGTGCGTAGCGCGAATTTGCGGCAA